ATCGAGATGTGGCGAGCTGCGGAGAAAGACATCGTAGACGTCACATGTTCTACGTACAATCTATTTACTCTTATATATCTCTTCAGGTACAGAACCCATGAACACTCACGATACTAACCCAGGACGTTGAGCTTGAGGGACAGATTGACGGTGATATCGGCAACGCTACTCAAGGACGGCCATGACTTGATTAAGCATGAAAGCCGAGCACAACTCACCAGTGGATTCGAACAACTCAGACTCGCTGGATCCAGTGACGTTTCTTTGCCGTGCATGCTGTGGTAGGATATTGAAGTACTTTATTTGTAAACTTTTTTTTTCTGAAAGTACAGTCGTCACATATGATCTTGGTCCTTGCCTTAACAACCACATAGCTTAGAACATGGCCTCTGAACAGCTGTTAATCCAAGGTGAGTAGCCATTACATCATGCAGTTCATACCAATTTAATTGATAAATAATAATAGGTATACAGGTACATCAAACCAACTGATAATTAATCCTGAACAAAGTTTCCGAACCTTCAGTCGACTGAATAGGCCTATCTCTTCAGCCTCTGCATTACGCACGACATACTACTTGTATTAATTGTTTCGAACACGACGAATCGCGATGATCCTGGTACCGATAGATTCCTCTCGCCCTCTACTATCTACATATGTAACGTTTTTGTCAGGAGACCCAGCTACAAATTTGGCCTCCATAATAGGGAAGGGCATAATGGATACCTGGGAAATTGCGGGGTAACATTTGAAGGAAAAATAGCTGTAAGTACTATATATGCGAAGAGAGTTGACCCTCCCCTCCCCCGCCCATCCACGTATTCACAGGGGTTTACGCTATCCCGTGAGACAATTCTTTACTGTACGTAGTAACCCATGTCTTTAGCATAACTCAAGCAGAGCCACATGACCACATATCTCAAGTACGTGCAAAACATCCCTCACATTCAGCCATCTCGACGGCCGTGTGGTTGTGGACTGCATAGCACGGAGAGAAAGAAATGGAAACACACCCGTACTATTTTGTCTACTCCATAGATAGCACTGCAGACAGTACATGAATTACATGTGACTCTACATGCCATCTAGTTTCATATACTGGTATTCATCGCACGGTATGTGTTTCTTTCCATTTCTGTTTTGCCGCCTCCCTGAAGGTGGCGGATCCATCAGTTCTCGGGAACTACACCCTCCTGATATGTGTCTTCCTTGAAGAATATGTGTTTTTGTTGACGTAAGGGCTTTATCCCTTGTACGCCGCAAACTATACATGGCGCATCTCTCTGTATAAGGGGGCATTTTAGGCTAATTAATCTGCATATTCGCCTCCCTGTGATCGGTCCTACGCTCCCATCTTGCTGTAAATACGTGGAGGATTCTTGATATTCTAGGGCAAGGGTGGGGGCCATTGGTTCCCGTAGGGAATGATTTAGTCATCTACATCATTTGTATATATTGTCATTTGCCTTCGTAATTTACCCTACATTTTTTTTGGGGGGGAGGTAACCTTCATGCCCTCCCCTATTACCGGGGCCACGATTGTGGGGTATAAGGAGGTATCCGCGGCTCAAGTCTTGCTTATATGAGTAGTAGAGGGTGAGAGGCATCCGCATGTTCCAGTATTAGAAATAATTACCAGTTCCTAATACTATTTCCCTGCCATATCAGCATCTCCCTCAAGTGTCTAATTATGCAGCTAACTTTTTTAATTTTTTGTATTTCTGAAATACCACTAAAATCAAGAACTTTTGCATTATGACTTTATTCCTCTATGTCAATACCAATAATTTATAATTCAAATTCAAGAGTCAGTAGGAAAAACATGACTTCTGTAAAATAATTCTAACGTATATATTTCACGTATTTACAAACCTTTGAATGTGCAGACGATAAACAAAAAGCTGTCATCACAAAAACATTCATCCCAATTTCCACATTAGCTTATGAAACTAAATCCAAAAGAGGACATGAAATAGAGCATAGGGGAAGAAGGGGGTACATTTCGTCACCTGCCTTCGAAAATCACTTACGTAGGAGTTCCCTGGTGTTGCTTTGTTAAAGTTTGGCGACCGTTATCTGTCAGGACCGTTGGGACTCCTTCCACCTCTCCTTCTGCTCCTTCGTCGGGCACATATGAGGCGCCCGTAAGAGAACAATAAAATTTCTGCTGCTGGAAGTTTGTCTGTAAATCATAAATCGTTTTTAAGTCAAAGTCAAAGATACAGGGATGCAACTAGAACGTTACTGCTGATACGTACCCACGAAACAATTTTTAAGAACATTATTTGGAAATGATTATGAATATCATTAATAAACTAAGAAACGTACTAACCATAACCAACATAAGTATTCATGACAAACATCGCATATTTTTATTGTCCTAACAACTGTATGGTGTTCACAAAAAACTTATTGCCTATTTCATATTTCAGTATGGCACTTTATTTAGGTCTCGGCACATGCATGTCTACATTAAAGTGATATTTTACCTTAAGATCATGGATGTTGAGAAATTTCACAGACTTCCCGTGCGTTGTAAAGTTCACAGGAATATCCACAGTCAATTCCACTTCGCCGAGAGGAGTTGGCCCCTCCTTCATCAGCTGAAAGCAGGATGAGGCATTATGTATGGGAGCATCTACGTAGGGTGTATCCACTCTCTCTCTCTCTCTCTCTCTCTCTCTCTCTCTCTCTCTCTCTCTCTTCCAATCTCTCTCTCTCTCTCTCTTCCAATCTCTTTCTCTCTCTTCCACTCTCTCTCTCTCTCTTCCAATCTCTTTCTCTCTCTTCCACTCTCTCTCTCTCTCTCTCTCTCTCTCTCTCTCTCTCTCTCTCTCTCTCTCTCTCTCTCTCTCTCTCTTCCAATCTCTCTATCTCTCTCTTCCAATCTCTCTCTATCTGTTCCAATCTCAATATCTCTCTTTCCAATCTCTCCTCTCTCTCTTCCAGTCTTCTCTCTCTCATCTTCCATCTCTCTCTCTCTCTCTCTCTCTCTCTCTCTCTGGATATATGTGTTTGCGTGTGTGTCTATGTGCGCGTGTGCGTGTGTGTCTACATCTATATCTACATCTGTTCGTCTGTCTGTATATTTATATATCATTTCGAAATTTAAATATATCTGTCTATTTATCTATCTATCTATCTATCTACACACACACACACACACACACACACACACACACACTATATATATATATATATATATATATATATATATATATATATATATATATATATATATATATATATATATATATATATATTCCTCTATTGATATCTATCTGCCTGTATAAAAAGGTATATATGTAAACATAGATAATTATATGTATATATGATATATATCGTATATTGCAGTATATTGTAGCTGCTGTTTCTTCATAAGAAGTATACTTCAGATCACATAAAAATGCAACAAAATTACGCTGCATTACCCAATATATGCAATTCCGCGCGCGGGCGATGTGTGTGCGCACGAATCCACACACACTAGCATGCGAGCGATTTGTGTGTGCACGCGCGCGGATTTGCATTCCTAGCTACGATAGTGGGTGAGTCTAGGATCGTGGGTCAGCCATCCTAGTATAAAGATCCAGTCAGTTACATGATGTCAAACACATTCCAGCCACAGGATCCACCTTGGAAGGACACTCCTCTCTTCTCTCCCTGCGGTGAATTAGCCTTACCTGGCTAATTCAGAGCGATGGGAGGATCGTACCGGAAAGGGCGTTCGACGGGGCGCAGCGGGTGGCGCCAAGCCAGCCGATAATGCGAAGAGGGTTGCCGCGATCCCTCGATCACGGGAATTTTGCCGGGGGCGTTTTAAAGAGATCGACTGGAGCCACCCCCACGGCAAACACGGCCTCAGCTATTACGCGTTACCGCGACGCTTCTGCGTCAACCCCTCGTTGCTGTCGCAACGCTATTTGCTTGCTCTGCATTTAGCTTCGTGCCCTCTAGCCTATGCTTTCCTTTACGGATTTTTTCGGCGTTAGGATAACTCTCTGTGCAACCTCTGGTGAACTGGACCTCATCTTCGGGCGCGTGCTCGGACGTGGGCAGACCTTTACCTCCCCCAGGGGAGGGTGTGTCTGGGGGGCCTTAGCGTGCCTGCCTTACAGTGCACAGAGAGTTGCCATTCTATTTGCTAGGGACTGGTCTGGCAGACCATCTGATGACTGCCACTCTAGTTTTTCGTTTAGGATGATAGGCAGGTAGGAGCCCCTCCCTTTGGCAGGCCTTCAGCCTAAGTTCTGTCGAAATAGCTGCTGCTAGACAGAACACCGCCTTCCCGTCCCGCCACTGGAACCGCCTCGAAAGTTAGCTTCACTCCCTCACTGTGGTGAATCAGCCTTTGAATGGCTGCTTCTGAGGGCTGTAGAAGCTTCCTTGAAAAGGTGCAGGAATCCTCTTCCCTCACTGTGGTGAAACAGCCTTTGGGTGGTTGTTTCAGAGGAATGAGAGGAACCTCCTGGAAAAAGTGCAAGAGCTCCATCCTTCACTGAGGCGAAGCAACCTTTGGGTGGCTGCTTCTGAGGGATGAGCAAAAGGGTTCCAAACAATGATGTTCAGTAGGTGGAAGGACATCCCCTCTGGTCTCTCCCCAGGGGTTTACACCTACACACGCTCCTACAATGCCTCTGTCACAATAGCTGCTGCTAGACAGAACACCGCCTTCCCGTCCCGCCACTGGAACCACCTTGAAAGTTAGCTTCTCTCCCTCAGTGTGGGAAAGCAGCCTTTGGGTGGCTGCTTTCTGAGGGCTGAAAAAGCTTCCCTGAAAAGGTGCAGGACTCTTCCCTCACTGCGGTGAAAGAGCCTTTGGATGGCTGTTTCAGAGGGAAGAGGGAATCACTTTGAAAAGGTACAGGGCCTCTCCTCCCTCACTATGGTGAAACAACCTTTGGGTAGTTGTTTCAGAAGGAAGGAAGCCTCCTGGAAAAAGTGAAAGAGCTCCATCCCTCACTGAGGTGAAGCACCCTTTGGGTGGTTGCTTCAGAGGGACGAGCACTAGGGTTCCAAACAATGATGTCCTGTAGGTGGAAGGGCATCCCCTCTGGTCTCTCCCCAGGGGTTTACACCTACCCACGCGTTTGCCGTGCGTGGCAGCCTTGTGCGCTGTGGAGACGGGAGTCCTGGGGGTTGAGCGATGCCGTGAATGAGTACGCCCTGCGGCTAGCAACACGCCTCTTTGGTCCTCTATTCCAGCAAGACAGGCGGCTTGATCCCGGCCCGGTCACGGTCAATCGGCTGTTCTCCCACGGGAGGCTAGGGCCAAGCAGTCATGCCACCAGTGGCACTCACAATGGTCCGTGAGCGCCGTTACAATGGTTATTGGCTGCGTATGTCCTCTCATCACCCCTGTGGCTGTTAGATACTGGTTCTGACACTCAGCTTCCCCTTGTTGGACTCCATGGTGGATGTGGGCGTGAGAGGATGAAGCACTGCCCAAATACATGGAAAAACTAAAACAAAACCCCCCACTGACAGATCATACGAACCAAGCAAGGCCCAGACCACAGCAGCCAACCTGGAGCCATATGTGGCTCCTGGTGGCAAAAGAAAACACAACTCTGTCCATCAGCTTGTAAAGCAGATAGACTCTCGTGCTGGTCTCTCCAGACCAGCAGCCAAGCCAGGGAGGCCCCTGAGTCCCCCTCAGACGGCCTCCCCGACTGAGATGGGAGCACAGGCTGGACCAGCCCAACCAGCTGCTGCCCCCACGAACAAACCCCCAAGCCGAAAGGGAGGGCCGAAGCGACCAAGGCCGGAGACAGACTCTGATGGAGAGTCTGGACCCCCTAATCGTTTCCCCCAGTCCAAAGTACTAGCCAAACTCGAAGGCTTCGACAATGCCTACCAATTGGTGAGAGCATTGGAGATGCAGAGGCAAATCCGGCTTTCAATCCAGAGATCAAGGCGTGATCATAATGCCGAAGGATCAAGCCACCTTGAATTTCCTCCAGGAAACCAAAAAATTGAAAGATGGGAGAAAAGTGAGTTCTTTCCCAATTAAGGCCAGAGGATAAGAGATCAAGATGGTGCAACTTGGCTTCTCATTCTCTTATGATGTGGAGCTGATCACTTCACATCCACAGGTCGTGGAGGCTTCCCAAATGTCGGTAGGGACGACTCCAACCAGGCAAGTCCTGGTGACTATGAAAGGTGCCCCAACCACTACCCATGATCTGGGTAACTGGGGCACCTACAACCTCTGTACATATGTGCCTGAAGCACTTCGGTCTTTTAAGTGCCAAAGATACGGACACCACCAGGCTAGCTGCACAGCCAAGCCTAAATGTGGTGTCTGTAGCAAGGCACACAACACAGAAGTGTGCCTGAAGGCCTACAAAGAGGAAAAGAGGGACACAACAGCCAAATGTCCCAACTGTGCTAATAGGCATCACGCCTGGAGCCTGGCTTGCTCTGTCAGGAAAGAGGCGGCCCTCAGGCGACAAGAGGTTGCTAAAAATCGACCAGACTTTATTCCTGCTCCCCCAGGCACACATGTCTAGGGAAGGAACAAAAGTAAAAAGGCTTCCCGACCTCCTAAGAGGAAGGAAGCCGCCCCACAGCCAACACCGGACGTCTTCAACACAAAGGAGTTTCCGGACATGCCAAAGAAGCAGAGAAAGAACCAAAGGAATAAAGGTTCTAAGAACGCTTCAAAGCCCTCCCCAAGAGATGATGATCTCCTCTTTGATGAGGCAGACATGACTCTCCTGGTCACTGCTGTAGTCACAGCAGTGGCAACAGCCCTGGGGAGGACAAGTGAAGATCATCTCCTATGCAGATGATCTTGCTCTCACCTCCATTGGGGCACAATGCCTGAGTAATGCCCAGCATTGTCTGGAACTTGTGTCTGAGGAGTGTTGTAGGACAGGACTAAAGATCTCTGTAGCCAAATCCAAAGCCATGGCTCTGAGACTTCAAGTTCAAGGCACAAGTCTGAAAATCCAGGGAGTAGACTTGGAATGGGTCCCGGTCTTCCAATACCTTGGGGTATGGATAGACCGGACCCTCTCCTTCAAGAAGGAGGTTGAGTACCTGGTTGACCGAACTAAAGCAAGACTGTCTGTCATGAGAGCAATGTCTGGGAGACGCATAGGAGCCAGGCACAAAGTACTAAGATCCTTCTATGTACATGTCAGGCCCATTGTGGACTATGCCTCAGTCGCTCTAATTGGCATAAAGAAAAAGTACAGAGAAAAATTGGAGACATTCCAAAATGAAGCTGCCAGGATCATTCTGAGTGCCCCGAGGTGGACAAAGGTACCCAACCTCCTGATAGAGGCCGACTTTTACTCCCTTGACTCACGAATCGATCTAATGGCAACCAATTTCCTATCAAAGGTCATCCGGGCTCCTAGGAACACAAGCCTAAGACAAAAACTAGTCAGACGCCTAGAACAAGACAACGAGCTCTTTGCAAACAACTCCTGGCTGTCACACACAGCAAGGGTGTTTATAAGCTATGAGCTCAAAGAACAGCTTCTCGCTAAGGGCATGAACTCCCCCCACCCTGACTTTGTCAAAGCCCCGCCGTGGGCACAAACCTCGATAGAGTTCTCAATAATGAGATTACCACTGAAAAAGAGTGACCTAAAGGCAGAAACCTACGGGGTCATTGCAGCCATCACTCCTCCGGGTAGTAGAACATACTACACGGATGGATCAGTCGATCCCTTGAACCACACTGTAGGCGCCGGCTTTGCAGGGATGCCATGCAATCCATGAGGGTAACAGACAACGCCTCCTCGCTACAGGTAGAGGCAGTTGCGGTCATGGGAGCCCTATCCCACGCGTCCCTAAGGGAAGGACACTTGGTCATACGTACTGACTCCAGGGCAGCCATTGACTGTCTTCAGCACAGCTCACCCAAAGATAGCATTTACCTCCTGATCACAATACTGATAATAGCCCAAAGAATACTGGCTTAGGGTAGAAGAATTATCATTAACTGGGTCCCTAGCCATATTGGCATCAGAGGGAATGAGCTTGCTGACAGACTCGCCGTCTCTGGCAGAGGTATGCCCCCTAATCCCATGATCATTAAACCAAGCCGAAAATTACTTCGGGGGAAATGTACTGGTGTCGCCAAATCCTTCCTCCTGCAGCTTCACAGAGAGGCAACGAGATCCTCCCCCTCGGCCAGATGGTACTGGCACTCTCTGAATTAAACAACAGAGGTACCGAAGTCATTCTTCACAGAATGCGCCCAGGTTTCCACTGTACATGGCAGATAATTGAGACCATTGTCCGTGAAGAGAGGTGTTGCATGCATTGCGGCGAGCTGAACGCCACACTTACACATTACTTAGAGAATTGTGAATACAATTCCTGAGACAGGGACCGCCGACAACAGCCGCCGTGCTAGTAAAGAGACTTTGCGATTCGCTTACACCATGGCAGCAGGAGCGCCTGCTGGCAATCCCACCGCCACGGTAAGCACTGAGTGTCAGAGAACAAAATGAGCCATAAAAAGCTGGCACAGACTGGGCCATAGCCGAAGGCCTGGGCGAAGCTAGAACTTCGCAAATCGCAATTATCATCATGATGTCAACAAGTAGTTCATCACAGCATCGGTGATGGCACGAATTTGTGTATATATATATGATATATATATATATATATATATATATATATATATATATATATATATATATATATATATATATGAAAAATGTGTGAGTGTGTGTGTGTTTATATATATATATATATATATATATATATATATATATATATATATATATATATATATATATATATATATATATATATATATATATAATGTATACTGATGGATAGTTAAACAGATAGATAGATATACAGATAACAGACAGATAGGTTGATAGATAGATAAACAGATAGATAAAACAAAACTCATAATCATTAAGATAGACAGATATATGATAGATAATCAAGATGCAGCCTTACCAAAAATAAATACGAGAATTTCGGTGTTACGGTCGCGTTAATTTGGTCCCCGAGGCGTTGGTATATAATCTGGTCTTCTCTGGAATTACTGCAATAGAATATTTCTGTTATTTGCACATTTGCTAATATTTGTGTGCTTGTATATGGTATATATATGCCAGAGTTTGAATTTCGTATGTGTGTGTTTGTGTCGTGTGGTGTGTTTGTGTTATGTGGTGTGTGTGTGTGTGTGTGTATGTGTTTGTGTGTGTGTGTCTGTGTGTCTATGTGTGTGTATGTGTGACTAAATGCATGTGCAAGCTGATACATACAATTTTACATACAAATATGCCATACAGTTCTGTACCGATATTCAATACCTAACAGAAATAGATAACTGAAGTGCGATGACACTTAAGAAATCCATTACCTTACAAGCATACTTAAAATACGAAATAAATATATTTTATTCCACCATCACAGCCATTATTGTACACAATGCTTTCAGTTCAAGGCAAACGACATCAAATTCCTGCTCCAACTTACCCATAAAGTTCAAGAGATGCGCTGGCGCCCATGTGCAGGTTATGATCTATGGTATTATCCTGAGATCGTGTCTCTGTGCCCTCGCTTGCCACTTCTACTCTGAAGGAGTTGTTTGTAGCTCGGTCGTCCAGTTGGCTCGTGTCTAGAGTGACCTTCACCTCATCCTGAAGAGTCAACTTCCTTATTGTTAACTGTATGGCACTTAGGAATGTGCAATCTGGGCAACCTCATGTTCGAGTAAAAATTATTGAGAATTTGAATTCAAAGATTTAAAGGTAGTAAAGGTGCTGCGGATTTCTATTCTCTTTTGTAGTTAACGATGATGTGGAATTTCCAAAGAAGTACCAAGATGCATGTAAAATTCGAGTACATGCGACTTTCCATGGAGGTGTTTTTATGTATATGAATATTAAGCATACAAACAAGGAATTTGTAGTTCATAAGAAATATATATATAGATTTCATTAGAAACCTTCATTATGATAAGATGTCCTTAGGGAAATACATTTCTGCATATAATTCCTTGCCTCATCATGAGAAAAAATCCATGGTGTTCTCGAAACCTAAACACTGAGAGAGAAAACACAGTTGCAAAACTGACGCACTTGAATTGTTATTGATTCCCAAGAGTCCTCTTACCTTCTCGTCAGGCATAATTGGGTTCCTGAGATGACATGCGAGGAAGGATCTGTCTCCTGAAGGGAAGTTACAGCTGTGTGTGTTAGGGAGCAGCAGGGCGAGGGGAGGGTCCACGCTGACCGTAACATTGGGAAGGAAAGCAGGTTCTCCCTTGTTGAACACACTTACTGTCACGGAAGATTTGTTTTCGCTACCAATCACAGATGCCGTCCTGGGGAATGGACATTTTATAGGACGAGGCTGGAGGTGCAGGAAGCTGATTTCGGTTTATAAAATAACAGCTGTATTCTGGACACTTGACTCTCTCGGTAAAGTGATGCTGTCAGATGTGCAGCAACGTGCCTGAGAGGTCTGTTGGTCTGACAAGCTAATGAAAAGACTAGACTCACTCTTGGTTGGAAGATGTGGCTTTAACTCCTAGATCCACATGGCAGGTTTCGTCGCCGTCCTTCTCACAGCCTGTAATTATGGCCACCTGTCTTGTCACCGTGGTAGGCTGACTGGGATCCATCAGCGGTTGTGCTGATGATAAGGAATTAGTGAGGAAATACATGGAAAGATCCGAAAGCTGTAAAAAGTAGACCAAAAAGGGCAAAATTTAACAATGCCAAAATAAAACCTTCCAGCAATGTCTTTCGACTGCAACATACTCCAGGTATTAATCTGTAATTAATTAATCTGCCAAATTCCAGACAAGAATGCTTACAGAGGAAAGAAGAAGGAACACTTACAAAGAAGATTAGCGGACTGGGAGTGGTCCAGCTCCCACTCAGCTTTCACCGAAATGGGTTCCCGGGCGTCAATCTTATCCTCCTGGGGGGGGGGGGGGGGGGAGTGCATCAAATCTGTTAGATATTCGAGATGAATACTGGCTCGATAGCATTGTCAATAGACAGACGAATTACTTGCCTTCAGTGTAATCAAGTAGTCTTTACACCTTTCGTCTTTTTGCCTGAACTCCTTGTTGTAGGAGTTGGTGTCTGGGAAGAAGGCTCGAGGAGACATGAACTTGTAGTCTAAAGTGATGTTACCTTTGATACCTGCAGACATGGATTCGTTAGGCTCTCTAAAATCACTTTACTTTTCCGCTGATCTCTCAGAGAGGGTGAGAGGAGGGAGGGAGTGAGGAAGGGATAAAAAAAAGGATAAAAAAGGAATAAGAGAGAGGGGGAAATAAACAACCAACAAACGGAACAATTTTTTAAAAAATCATATATTTCACATGGAGGTGGGAGATGCCTCTCTCATTCTCACCGACTTCGAAATTTTCCTTGTAGTTGAAACAGACACTCAATTTGAGCGAAGTATCAGTAAGAGCTACTCTTAATGGTATTGTGGTTATGCTAGCTGTGACATTCACCACCGGTCGACTTTTCAAAAGCGCTGCGTGGCCGGAGAGGAAGCTACCGATGGCTAAGTCTGGAGAGGCGTGAAGAGGAATGCAGTTGTTAGTCGCATTGTCAGTAATACTCATTTTTATTGATATTTTTCTTATTATCGTCATTTGTATTATCATTATTATCACTATCAAATCATTATCATTATCATTATCATTATTATCACTATCAAATCATTATCATTATCATTATCATTACTATTATAATAATCAATACCATCATCATCACTTTCATTAGTCGTAGCAGTATACTGGCTGAGTAATAACTAGCAATTTACTTTCCTCCCACCTTTCCCTATGAAACTGTAACCCCCTTTGTGTGTGCGTGTGTGTGTGTGGAGACATCAAAGAGCCTCCTCCTAAACAGTAGAAACAGCAAAAAAATAAATAAACAAATTGTATAATAGAAAAATAATATGAATAAATCTGTAAATACAAAAGGACAACTGATATTTTTTTATAATTTCTATGCCAATCAACACCTGATGGAACACATGTACATATTAATATAATATTACTGCAAAAGGGCCTAAGGTAAATATTGCAATGAATAAAACGACAACAACTGCTGGCACCCATATCCCCCAACTTTAGCCGTCAGTCTTCCTTGGTTTCTTCTTGCTTTCTTGCTCTGTTGTCTTAGATTTATTCCAGACTCGCTCTACAGCCTAACATCCATAGCTTAACTTAACCCCCTCCTTACTTTCTCGCAGACGCAGGCACATACACGGTCTGACCCCAGGTGTGCACTACCCCATTGCTGTGGTGCGTTATGTGTAATGTCGTAATTTCAGTTTCTGTATTTTTTTTCTTTTATAATTCCCTACATGTCTAACTTGTTTGAGGAATAATGAGACAATAAAAGTAATGGTGACAATGACATCAGTAATAAAATAGGTACTTTTGACTTAATTTACGCAAATTGGTTTTGAAATTCCGGTATGTAATGTGGCATGAGCATTTTTTCGGCCAGTTACATCCCGGCTTCACAGTCTAACACATCACCCTCGCGTTGAAAGTACATACCAGGATACCCGTTGCCATCGATATCGATGCCTCTGGAGATGGCCATGCCAAAACCCAAGAAAGGCGCAGAGAAGTGCTGCGGCAAGAGGTGCTGGGAGAACCTCGCCCTCAGACCTTGTGAGGAACCAAGGTAAATGTACACAGCTCCGTGACCGTCTTCCCAAGGGGCACCCACTGCTATGTCTAGAAAGGATGGAGGGAATTCGTTATTACATTATTACAGCTGGTTTATTACTGAGAGAATAATCGAGAGCAGAAGTACCTCCGTTCGATGCCCTATCCCGTATCATATATATATATATATATATATATATATATATATATATATATATATATATATATATATATATATATATATATATATATATACATTTATATATATATATATATATATATATATATATATATATATATATATATATATATATATATATATATATATATATATATATATATATATATATATATATATATATATATATATATATATATATATATATATATATATATATACATATATATATATATATATATATATATATATATATATATATATATATATATATATATATATATATTTATATATATATATATATATATATATATATATATATATATATATATATATATATATATATATATAATGTATATGTATATATATACATATATATATATATATATATATATATATATATATATATATATATATATATATATATATATATATATATAAATGTATATATATATATATATATATATATATATATATATATATATATATATATATAATATATATATATATATATATATATATATATATATATATATATATATATATATTATATATATGATACGGATAGGGCATCGAACGGAGTATATATATATATATATATATATATATATATATATATATATATATATATATATATATATATATATATATATATAAATGTATATATATATATATATATATATATATATATATATATATATATATATATATATATATATATATATATATATATATATATGATACGGGATATGGCATCGAACGGAGTATATATATATATATATATATATATATATATATATATATATATATATATATATATATATATATATATATATATATATATATATACATTTATATATATATATATATATATATATATATATATATATATATATATATATATATATATATATATACATATATATATATACATTTATATATATATATATATATATATATATATATATATATATATATATATATATATACATTCATATATATATATATATATATATATATATATATATATATATATATATATATATATATATATATATATATATAACGTTCAATAAAAGGGAACAGAGTCTGGAAAAAGTGCATCCAAGAAAGACTACTGGCTTTACAAAGTTAGCATATAAAAGATATAAGGAATAGCGTGTTGACGGGAACAACTTGTGCGACCTTCTTCAGAAAGTCATTTCTGAAAGGCAAGGACGCAGTTCAGAAAGAGCGGTCTAACATTTGTGACATATTAGAGAGAAAAAAAACACACAGGCGGCGTAAAAGTAAAATAGAGTCTAAGAATGCTTTCGCGATGTGTTAACAGGGTAGTGGCCCGATTTCCTGATTTTCAGAGTTCCAAACTAAACTAAAACTAAATGTACTTTATCATCTCTCTGACTGAAGTCCTTTGCTAATATATCTGTAAGTTGGAACTTAGTAGGATGAGAGTGAGGATAGCTTATGTTCCTTAAAAATTCTAAAATTTAAACTTGTCAAAACTAAAACGTTCTCTCTCTCTCTCTCTCTCTCTCTCTCTCTCTCTCTCTCTCTCTCTCTCTCTCTCTCTCTCTCTCTCTCTCTCTCTCTCACTAGATATACCTACATTTGTCTATATCCATCTGTCAACTTTAGTCCATCTAAATACATCTCTCCATCTATCCGGCTCAATTTCACTCTCACTCTAGATCTGCCGGTAGACATCAAAACAATTTACATACTATTACATTCAAGAAGCGCCTATTATAAGTTACAAACCCACACGGCGCTCTCTAAATCCTCCGGTTGGTCCACCTTGTGTCACTTTCGCATAAGAATGAAAGTAAATTTCCTTAAAGCCTTTTGAAACTTACCTTGGAATCCATCTTGGTTAAGGTCTCCACATGCAGCCAGAGTGGTGCCAAATCTTGCCTCGGCTTTGGCACTTCCATAGTAATGTCTGTATGATGATTCCATTGTGGCTTGGCCTCGTTGCTGTGGAAGAGTCTGTCATTATTCTTATTATAATGGCACAGTCGATGAGTTATTCATCATAATAATCACTGCATGAAAACTATATGGAAATTAGAATTTATTTATGGAAAAGAGGAAAATATTCTGTGACTTTAATATTCTGATGTGCTTGTATAGGGTTGTAGTACGTCGGAAATCTATTCTCCCCTATTTACATGGCCCTTGCACCTCATTTTAATTATGCATATTTTGTCACACTGCAGGACCTTGAGCCAGTCTGGAACAGCCTACTTTAGGTATTGCATTTGATTTCTTTCCCAATAGCCATGCCTTCGAAATTCCCTGCCTTTCACAAGAGGTCGTGGCATTTAAAATAGAGAATCTTTCCGAAGGATCTCTCTTGGCTGTGGAAGAGAATCTGTGCCTTCAATCTTTCTTGATGTTCATCCATGTTTCTTAAGTCATCGCACACCACATGCAGGACCATAACTGTCTTGAATTTATCTATATGAGAACTTAATCTCATTTCTGAGGCCAATTCTTCATGGTTCTTAAAACAGACTCAGTATTTCTTATACTTTTTTCTGACACAACGACGTTTTAGCGTTTTCGGACATATTTATATGATATGCTTTAGCATTTTCCTTTTCATATCTTTAGGAGAGTTCTTCAGTCCCCAAGTTTCTAGTTAAGTCTTTTGGTCTAAACCATACATACAAGCTTCATGTGTACTCTTCGCAGAGGAAAGGTTGTCGATGTGTGCTACTACTGCAGGAGACGTATGAATGAGAAAGAATGACTGCACAGTACAAGAGTTATTCATTCTCATTCACAATTTTTTTATACAGTTGTCGCAGTACATCCTTGCTACTACTCTATGAATAGGTATACAGAAGATAGTCTGCGATCTGCTGATCCCATTTCATCATAATTATGTGGTAAAAATAGGACGCATGTCCTTAATGCTGCCTCGCAACTGTTCTGATTTTTCAATGCTGTATATTACAGATACTTGGGACCGTGATTATCACCGGTATAGGAGTTACTGGACTGTTTAGCAACATTAGCTTTTCGTCCAAGAGTTGTAAACAAATTATATTCTATCTCCTTCCTCTCAAACCACACAGTCCAATGATGCTCTGATTTTCCTTCAGTCGACCATCAGGTGGGAGATCGAATCGCGTAGACGGATGGCCTCTCCACAGATGGCTTCCTTTGCAACGGTTCCACTCCTTGTTTCCGCTTCCAAAGTGTCCTTTAAAGATAGTCATTCTTAGATCACTTAAATGAGTCTGATCTTTCTCCAATAAGTACTGAACGGGAATCTTTCCCAAAAAATATACAATGCTCTTGTGTCTGGCCTGGAGGATCGTTACCAATCTTGCCTCAGACATTTCTTTGTGAAGAGTTTTTCATATTTTTCTTCTTGCTCTAATGTGCCCTTCTGATTCGTTGTAGGCTCCTGGTTGTCTGGTTGCCTCTTCTATACTTTTCTATATGGAAGCTGTGGAGGATCATGCCTATGTGGTTGACCAAGACCGTGCCGTGACTGGAGCAGGGGCGGACCGTGATTGGACCGAGACAGTTCCTTTAGTGTGAGTGGGGCAATAACGCAGTCAAAATTAATCGCCTTCGTTATGCCTCGTTGTTTACTTTCTGTATATGGTCTGATGTACACCATGATCAGGCTGCTTAACAAAAAAAGAAAAAAAAGAAAAAATAAAAAAAGCTCATTCACTCAAATGTCTCATCATAAATAGAAGCTGCCACCCGGACATCCCCAACACGAAACCAATGCAACACTTACCCTTTTCGTTTTATACACAACAACCTTTCCCATATCAGAAGCCTCGGGCGTGGAGTACATGGGCGCACCAACCACCAGGTCACTAAGTCCATCACCATTGATGTCGGCAGCCACAAGCGATGCCCCAAAGTTCTCTCCCATCTGCGTGCCGTCCCACTTATAGTGTTCTATCATTTCCATATGTTCACTTTGAGGAAAATCAAACAAAACCACCTGGAATAAAGATGTAACAAAGGTCTCCATTTATAGAATCGATCTACTCCTTTGTAATGTTCCTTGTCCGAACAGATATCAACATATGAAGAATAATGGTTCGTTACCCTCCCGAGAGAGTTGGCTCCACGAGTGGCTCCAGCTGCGTAGAGAATCTTATCGGATGACAGGAAGTTACCGGACGTCACAGAATAGCCCAAAAGGTCATTTTCATCTATGGACGTGTTGTTTGCATTCATCACGAACTCTAATGAAAACATATGACGTTCTGATGCAACTGACTGACGACGACGACGACGTCGGGAAGATCCGACAAAGATTACGGGATTAGAATCCTTGAAACGGATGACTGTTCCTGGAAAACCAAATTCACACAAGGCTGAATTAATCTTTGGGCCTTTTTTCATATATAGACATTTTAAAGGTAAATCCACCTAATCTAACAAGGATCATATACGTCTTAAGCACAGAGCTCGCACTAACACCGCAGCAAAAGCCGTTTCCTCACCTCGCCAGCTCAGGACCCCGGGAGCCCCCACTATCATCTCCGTCGGGTCCTCTGGGAAGTGAATGGACAATCCGGCACCTCCACTGCCGTAAGACGCCTGCTTGCCTGAAATGGAAGAAACGTGTTTTTATTCTAAGTAAAAAATTGGCAGGTGGTGATGCTGTAATGTCTGTTCATTATCTTAACATGCGGTTCATTCGATC